TAACCACCTCACTGAGTGTTTAACCCAGTTATGAATGAATCATTCAAATGTACTGATGTGGAAGAGTGTAAAGTGGAAAAAGGAAGCCATGGGGAGCAGGGGTTACATACATGAGATGTTTCTGGATGCACAGGAAAGGTCTGGCAGGGGCCCCAAGCCACTCCCAAGAAGGCAAGTGACTCAACCATGGAATGTGCATTTGAAGCATTTGCAGAGTATACGTGAAACTTCTAAAGCAGTTTAAAGAGTGAGCATTAAAATGTTAAACCATTTCTTAAAATGTTAAATCATTTTTAAAAAGGAAAGCCACAGGGCCAGGGATTTAGCTCAGTGGTTTCGCTGCCTGCTGCGCAAGCGCAAGGACCCAAGTTCAATCCCCAGTACCAAAAAAAAAAGGAAAGCCACACACTGTATGGGCCTTTTTGCCAACTATTCAGCTGACAGATAATTAGTATCCAGACTATGCACACAGGACAAATACAAATCAGTAAGGAAAAGATAATGCATAGAAGCAGACAAAGATCATGAATGGCAAATCACTGAAGGAAGCAGAATGGCCAATAAACATGAAAAGATGTGCACTTCCTGTAGGAGCAGAATGAAGAAAAATTGTAAAGTCTGATGGTACCAAGGAATGCAGGGAATGAAGACACAGACTCTCTGATATCTCCTGGTCCAACCACTGAGAAGGGCAATTTGGCAATATCTAGTAAATGATGATGCACTCTGGGAAACTAAAGCAGGAGGGTTGTGAGTTTGAGCCCATCCCGGGCAACTTAGCAAGACACTGTCTCGGAAAATAAAATGAAAGACTGGGGATGTGGCTCAGTGGGAAGGTCCTGTGATCAATCACCAGTACTATAAATAATAGTTAATAATAACTAAAATTGAAGAAACAAATTGTTAGAGGTCTGGCAAGCCCATTTCTATTTAAATCCTCAGCAGTGCCCATACATGGAGAGAGACACATTCCAGAATGTTCTACACCATGGTTTATAACAGTGAAAAACTTAAAACTACCTAAATATATACATTGGGATGACATGTAGCCATCAAAATAAATAACTGAGCTACACATAGCCACATGGAATTAAAAAATCTCTGAGGCAGTGCTTGGTTTTTATAAAAAGTAACTTGGAAAAGAAAGATAAATTTGAGTCATTTGTAGAAAAAAATGAATGGATCTTGAGATCATAATGTTAAATGAAATAAATCAGACACAGAAAGTTAAGTATTAATTGGTTTCTCTTACATGAGAAACCTAAGGTGTAAATATTTCAAAATAAAAGAGATGACAGGAAACAGAGACATCGATTTTGTGGACCAGGAAGGGGATCCTGGGGAGGGGAGAAAAGCGATCAAGACGTAGTGCGCATACGCACCAGTTCCTCACAACGAATGCCATGAGCATGTGTTACAAACTTGTGCCAGTAGTAAAAATAAAGTCACTCGGGGCCCTGGAACTAATTTCAAATTTTAAATAATGCAGAAAATGTTCTGAGACCACAATGCAATTATGATTGTGGAATTATGAGACCACACAATGATGAGTGTGGAATTTCCTTCCAGGAACTGCAGCCCTGATGGCCGCACAACACTGGCCAGGTCCTGAAGACCATGGAGCTCTGCACTTTGAAATGATTCAAATGGTAAATTCTATTACAGTGTTTTAAAAAAATCAGTGACAATGGGGCCGGGGATTTAGCTCAGTGGTTTCACTACCTGCTGCGCAAGCTCAAGGACCCGAGTTTGATCCCCGGTACCAAAAAAAAAAAAAAAAATCAGTGACAAAAAAATACCTCAGGAAACCCCATATTTATTCTTCAGAAATTTTTTAGTTTTGTTAGTCCATGTGTGCAGCATCTAATAGTTACATTCCACATGGGGGGTTGGTGCAGGTACCTAACACATGTACCAACTTCCACGGGAAATGTCAACATGTACTCTAATAAACTAAAATAATAAAAAACAGATGAGGAGAGGGGGAAGAGGAAAAAGAATTAAGACGTAGGTGCCATATTCATTTTTTTAAGTCTTCTAAGTAACCAATAAGTCAAAAGAGAATGCACAATGAAACTTAGAAACCAAGAAAAGGACAATATGGCATTCAAAATTTATGAAGTGAAAGCTACACTTAGGAATGTATAACTCTAAATTAATTTGTTAGGAAAAAGACTGAAAACAATCAAAAAACATCCATCCCATGAAGGTGAAAAAGAAAAGCAAATTAAATACACACACACACACACACACACACACACACACACAGTAGGAAACCACAGAATATTAAATACAGTTTTTTGTGGTACTGGGGATTGAAGAGAGGCCTCACATGAGCTAGGCAAGTGCTTGCTCTACACTGGGCTTGAGCCCAGTCCTCTGACGCGCCGTGACTACAGAATACAACTGGCAGCAAGGCCAATAGTTCTTTAGAAAGATGAATGCAATCGGTAAGACTGATACTGTATCAGTAATTGATAGGCCTCGTGAGACTAAGAAAAAGATAAAACTACAAATACTCAGGCCGGGGATGTAGCTCAGTGGTTTTGCCGCCTGCTGCACAAGTGCAAGGACCCGAGTTCGATCTCCAGCAGCAAAAAAAAAACTACAAATACTCTTAAGGAGTAAAAGTCACCACCACACTGCTGCCAATGCTGTGTACCATGCATCTAATCAGAAAGACACCATCAGACTAATCTAGATTGAGACACAGTCTACAAAACTACCCACCTGGACACTTCAAAAATGCCAATGTCACAAAACCCAAATCTCAGCCTAAAGCACTGTCCTAGAATGAAAGAAACTAAAGTGAATGCAAGCCAGGTGTGGTGGCACACATCTGTCATCCCAGCACTCCGGAGGCTGAGGCAGGAGGATCACTCCAAGTTCACTGCCACCCTGGGCTACAGAGTGAATTACATAGCAAAACCCTGTCTCAAAAACCAACCAACCAAGTAAAACAAATACAACGTCCGGTCTGGGATTTTGCAAAAAAGTGCCATGAAAGACATGGAGAAACTGACAAAATCTGAACAGTCTGCAGATTTGACACCTGATCCACAGCTGTCCTGTGGTTACATTGGGCGGACGTTCTTGTTCTTAGGAAACACACACTGAAGAAATTAGGTGCCAAGGGGCGTGATATTTACACCCCACTCTTGGTTCAGGTTCAAACGGACCCAGGGGTAGAGTCCAGAATTTAGTTCTAAGAAGCCCCAGCAAACAGGCCAGCGGGAGCCTGTGGCCTCCCACCAACACACGCGCACAGGTGCAGGATAGCAGCAGGGCCCCAACCCCGCTCAGCTCCTGAAGTCCCAGTACGCAGGTGACCTTGTCTCAGAGCCTCAGTTACTTCACTGTGAAAAGGACAGCAGTGTGGCCTCAGGTCCTGCCCCGAGGCAGAGCACAGCGAGGCCCAGGCCCTGCTGAGAGGCGACACCCCAGTGGGCTCCTGGGACAGCAGACCTGCCGCACCCAGCCCCGTCCCTGCTGGCAACACCAGACGCTTCCCAACGGGCAGGGCGGACGGAGCCGAGGGCCCGTGGGCCTGAACACCATGCCGGGTGGAGCCAGAGTCCGAGCAGGGCCTGCTCGGTCCGAGGCCACAGGTGCCATTTGGGCTCTCCCTGCTCCTGCACCTCTTCCCTCCCCCCAGCAAGACAAGGCCCCTCTTCCTCATCCCCACAGGAGCCACTGCCACCTGGCTGGAGAGGCCAGGGAGCCTCTGAACACCCTCTCCACTCTTCCTGGGCTCACAGGTCCCCACATGGGCTTGCGACTCAGGGAACGACAGCCTGTTATGTGTCTCTAAGTTGGGTGGGACAGACTTACCTTTGGCTGGCACTTGGGCAGGGACGGGCAGATCCCAGAGACCCAGGGAGGGTATGAGCTAGGACCAAGGCCTCCAGGCGCTTCTGCAAGGCCAGGCTGCCGCCTGCCCGAAAGAGCAGGCAGGGAAGCGGTTGCCAGAGCCTCAGAGGCACCGCTTAGGAAGGAAAGACAACACCTGCTGACCGGGTGGAGGGAGCCTGGGCAGCCTGCAGTCTGGGAGCAATCAAGACCTAAACTGCCACGTGGAAGCCGCCCTCCACCTGCTTCGTGCAGCCCCGCACAGCCCCACCCTCTCAACTGGAGCCCGAGGCTGCAGCCTGGCAGCGGGTGCGGGCACCTGGCCCCGCAATCCTCATGCAGTGGTGGCTCCGGGTCTCTCCGCGCCCCCCAGACATCAGTTCCTCAGGCTCACCGGCCTCCCTTCCCTCCAGAGACCTTACTGCGAGGCCAAGGCTGGCAGTTTTTTTCCCGCTTTCCTGGGGACAGCCCCGCCTCCTCTGAACTCTGCTGCAGTTTTCTCCCCCAGCTGCTTCGCTCATGGCCTCAGCCCAAACCCAGTCCCACCTGGGCTCCAGGATCATGGGCAAGACCCCCTCCCCATGGCCGCTCAGAGTGGGTGCCCCGGACCATTCCAACATTAAGCTGGCCGTGGTGCTGCAGGCCTGTACTCCCAGCACTTTAGAAGGCTGAAGCAGGAGGATCGAAAGTTCAAGGCCAGCCTGAGTGACTTAGCAAGACCCTATCTCAAAATAAAAATTTAAAAAGGGCCAAGGGGTAGAGCTGGGGATTTAGCTCAGTGGTTCCGCTCCCTGCCTCCAAAGTGCAAGGTCTCGAGTTAGTCTCCAGTACCAAAAAAAAAAAAAAGAGTGGGGGGGGTTACTTCTAAAATGTGGCCTTTCAAGTCCCCACTTCCTCCCTAGGGCCAGGGCCCTGACACCCTGGCTCCTTCCTCTTCCCATGCCAGTCCCTCCACTCCCATCTGCTCCTGGGAGGCCTGGGCTGGCTTCCTGCCAGTACCCTCCAGACACCACCGAGCAGGCAGTTCCTTACCCTCCTGAGCTGCCTTGTCGGCCAGCCCTGCCTCCCCCTGCCCCAGCCTTCAGGCAAAGCGCCTGCCCTCCTCCAGCACAGTGTGTCAGCAGGGCCCGCAGAGGAAAGAGCCAGCGAGGGTCGGTCCGGACCAGGTATGCTTTATTGCAACAATCAGTTCCAGCCATGACAGACAGACCACACACTGCACACCTACGTGCTTTGCAGAGCGACCCCACAACCAGGACCACACCCTTCCAGAGACTGGAACTCAAACCCCTGGGCAAAGGCCGGGCCCTGCAGGGCCAGGACAGGAGGCGCTCCTGCTCCCCACAGCCACTCCCGTGAAAGCACGCTGGCTAGCGTGGAAGGGGGTAGCAGAGCCCAGATGGGTGTCCTCTGTCACAGGTCACAGGGCCTCACCCTTCCTCTCCCTGAGACTCCCACCCTTGCAGTTTAATCTGGGTGGAAGAGCGAAAGGGCATGAGAGCCCCTCTAGCCAGCGTGTAGGGCCGAGGGCTCTGTGCCCAAGGGTCTGGCAGACGCCAGAGTTAAGGCCATGAGGCTCCGCCCCTTTCCTACAGTCCAAGGCTGGCAGGGGGTGCTGGTCCCCTCAGAGGGGCTCAGCTCCGGTAGCTCCGGAGCACATGCCCAGCGATCACCAGCCTCTGGATCTCACTGGTGCCCTCGTAGATCTCGGTGATGCGCGCGTCTCGGTAGTGGCGCTCAGCGGGCATCTCTGTCACATAACCCATGCCACCCAGAATCTGTATAGCCTATAAAGAGGCAGAAGACACACACACACGTGAGGAAAGACAGGGCAGGTGAACTACATAAAGGACTCACAGGGCAGGGGCCACAAGCGTGCAGGGCGGACGCTCACCTGGTGGCTGATGGCAGTCGCGGCCTCCGATGCAGCAAGCTTGGCCATGGCGGACTCCTAAGCAGCAGGGATGGCAGTCGGCAACTTCACCTTGGGGGAGCCCCAGCTTCTGGCCCCTCAGTCCTAGCAAAGTAAACCCACAAGCCCACCTCTGCCCACCCAGACCCCTCCCTCGAAGGGAGCCCCTTCCCCCAGGGCACCTTGGTGAAAGGCTTCTTATTGTCCTTCAACATGGCAGCACGCCAGGTCAGCAGCCGGGCACTCTCCAGGGCCAGGGCCATATCCGCCAGCTTGAACTACAACAGTCCACACCACTAGTCAGCAGGTGCCCTCGCTGCCCAGAGAGCGGGTCAGAGGAGAGGGAGGGCACAGGGCAGGGAAAAGGCCAAGCTTCCCTCCCTGGCATCCAGGCCCAGCTCCTGACATCGCCCTGGTTACCTGGATGCCTTGGAGCTTCGTGAGGGGTGCCCCGAAGGCCTTGCGGGTTTCAGCGTAGTTCACAGCACAATCCAGGGCAGCCTGGGCAATGCCCAGGGCCTGGGAGGCGATTCCAATCCGGCCCATGTCCAGGGTTTGCTGTGGGGACCTCTCGCTCAGTGACTGCAGGCTGGGGCACTGGGCCTGGCCCCAGGGCACTGCCCCGCACCGGGCTCACCATGGCTATCTTGAAGCCCATCCCCGGCTCCCCCAGCAGGTTCTCCTTGGGGATGCGACAGTCCTCAAAGATGAGGTTGGCTGTGGACGAGCCCCGGATGCCCAGCTTGTCCTCCTTCTTCCCCAGCATGAGCCCAGGTGTTGGCATGGGAACCAGGAAGGCACTGATGCCCTGCAAGGCCCCAAGATGCCGAGTGACTTTCTCAGTGGCGGCCTTGCTGGCAGAGTCCCACCCTGACACCAACAGTCCAGACGCAAGCGTCAAGGCCCTCACTGGCCTCTGTCAGGGTCCAGCCAGGATGCCCCCTGCTGGCTTCAAGGGAAGGTGCAGAAAGCAGGGGAGGGGCAGCCTGAGTCCCCCCAGGGCAGAACAGCTGGGAAGGGGGTTCCCACCCACAGACAGAGGGTCAGCCTGGCCGCCCTGGGCCCCACCTTGTTCTTCAGGGATCTGTCCGTGCTGGCAAAGACCACAGTGGCCGAGGCCTCCCAGGCATTGGTGATCCAGGCTTTGGTGCCATTCAGGACCCACGAGTCCCCTTCCTCCCGGGCCGTAGTGGATGCAGCTCCCGCATCGCTGCCGTTCCCTGCCCCACACGCAGACTCAGACCCAGTACAGGGGACCCCGCCTCACCCTGCAACTGGGCTCCACAGTCGGGCTCAGGGTGCAGCAGCCCCGAAGCTCCCAGACGGGTACAGGAGGGACAGGTCCTGTACAGGACCTAAGCTGTCCCTGCCTGTGCCCCAGGCAGGCACAGCAGCCTCCTAGGAAGATCCAGGCAGCTGCGCTGGGCCCAGAGGCCCACACCAGAGCCCCTTCCTCCTGTTCGGGGGCTGACCAGCAACAGCCCCCCAGCTCTGGTCCACAGGCGCAGGGCCGCCTGTCACCCTTACCGAAGGAGTGACACCCCAGGGGCACGTACCTGGTTCACTGAGGGCAAAGCAGCCAATTTTGTCACCACTGGTGAAAGGGGTGACCCACTGCCGCTTCTGCTCGGGGGAGCCGAACTTCAGGATGGGGCCCAGGTAGAGAGACTAGGGGGAGAGTGGGCGGTGATGGGAGGCGGCCCGAGGCCTGCTCTGTCCAGAGCCCACCCAGGGGAGCCAGGAGAGCTCACTCACGTTGTTGACACTCATGATGACGCCGGTGGAGGCGCAGCCCCGGCTGATCTCCTCCATGGCGATGGAGTAGGCCAGGTAGTCGAGCCCAGCCCCGCTGAGCTCCTCAGGCACGTCCATGGCCAGCAGCCCGAGCCCACCCATCTTCTTCACCTGGCGAGGGAAGGAGGTCATGGCCGGGGCACTGCTGCGCAGGTGCCCACCCCAGCCTCAGCCCCTCCTGCCCCAAGCCAGCACCTGTAGACACAAGTTTAAATGCTGAAGGCCCAACCCAGCTATTCAAACCATCCTGTCCCCATGCACCCCCATGTTTGTTCACCTCTCTGTCCACAGCCACACCAGTGAGCAGGCAGAGGGAAGCCTTTAGGGGACTTAGAGGTAAGGAACAGGACAGTATGGTACCTTCATACTGGCCTTCCTTCAGTCCCCTAAGCACACACATTTCCCCTCCCCACCACAGGGCCTTTGCACATGCTGTTTCCTGCATCAGCAAGGCCCTCAATGGACCAGTGATTTTCCTCTCCTTTCCTTCTGATCTCAATGCAAGCTCTTTGGGCTGCCACCTTTGGTTTCATTTAAGTCAAATCCTTAAATCACAAACTCTTCTGACACTTTTGTAGGACTTACACAGGTGGAATTTCTTATCTACTAACATCTTTCTGTGTGACCATGAGGGCAGAAACTTTGTGTTTTTCCTCACTGTTACAGGCCCAATGCCAGAGAAAAAGTGAATGGATAAAAGCTTGAGGTGTGTGTGTGTGTGTGTGTGTGTATGCACGCACACAAAGGCAAGTGCTCTACCACTGAGCTATGAGCCCAGTGTTTTGTCTTATCTTATTTTGAGACACAGACTCACTAAGCTACCCAGGCTGGTCTTGAACTCGTGAGCCTTTCTCTGCTTCCCAAGTAGCTGGGACTACAGGTGTGCGCAACATGTCCAGCTGAGCCTGGATTTCTGACTTGGAGATAATAACAATTATGGTTAATACTGAGTTCCTCGTATGTGCCAGACTCTCCACGAAGTGCTTCTGGCTTTGTCTGTAGAAGCAGAGATTGAACCCTGGGCCTCAGGCTAGGCCAGTGTGTACAACACTACATGTCTCTCAAGAGCTCTACAAGAACAATGTTGTATGTTAACTTCACAGCACAGCTGGGGAAACTGGGGCTCAGAGGGGTTAAGCGATCTGCCCAAGGCCACAGAGCATACAAGTGGTACGGCTGGGATGAAAACCTGGCAACGAACAGAATCTTAGCCAGCTTACTACAGTGGCCAGCTCTGCCTGTGCCAACCTACAACAAATTCCTTTAACCTCTTCAGCTCACTTTCCACCTGAGAAATGTGGGCTACAACAGAACCTACCTAAGTTCACAGAAAATACAACTAAAACCCATTGTCTCTGGGGAACAGCGACAGGAGAGGGGATGGAGGGGCCACTGCTTTTATCAGCCCCCTTGCCCTTTTCTGTGGCACTGGGGATTGAACCCAAGGGCCTTCTCACTAAGCTACACCCCTAGCCCTTTTTTGTTTTGAAACAGGATCTCAGTAATCACTAAATTGTCTGGGCTGGGCTCAGACTTGATTTCCCTGCCTCAGCCTCCCAGAGTGCTGGGATCACAGGTGGGCGCCACGCCCAGCTTACAAGCCCTTCTGTATACAGTCGTTTCAGAGGCAGAGGGGAGTTGCTTCCGGGATCCCCAGGGATCCCACAGAGGCTCAAGTCCCTTTATATAAAATGGTATAGTATTTGCACACACCTACCCCCACGATCCCATGGACTTTATTCATTTCCGAATTTGCCTGTTTTTATCACTGTGGTGCCAGAGACAGAGCCCCGGCCGTGTGCACGCTGGACGAGCGCTACACCACTGAGCTCTGCCAGCCAGGCTCCCAGTGCATGAAATCCTCCCCTCATGACTCGCAATCCCTAACACAGTGTACATGCGCCGTACACTGCTGTCACACTGCGCTCTGGAGGAAGTAATGACAAGGAAAAAAGGTCCACAGGGTCAGTACAGATGCCCCAGAGGCGGAGGTGGCGTGCACAGGCAGAGGGTGCCACGCCGCGGTGGGAGGCAGAACGGCAGCCCCAGGGGTAAAAGCCCAGGTTCTCACGCTGGGTCCTTTTGCTCCAGAGGTGACAGCGTGGTTGACAGGAGCCTTCTTCCACCTCCTGCCGAAGAGGGGCTGGGGACGAAGCTCAGGGAGGGCTACACGCACCAGGCGGAGGGTTCCTACCTCAGTCCCGCAAAAGTAAATACATAAATAAATAAATAAAAACAAGCACTTCACGCTCAGTTTTCCTGCTTTGGGATGTGACCTCCTCCCATGTGTGATTTCAGGGCCTCATCAGGACCCAAAGCAATGCCACCAGTCTTGGAACCTTAAGAACTGTGAGCTAAATAAGCCTCTTTTCTTTACAGAATAAAACTGAAAAAGCCTTTCGTATAAAACGGTGCTTTAGGGCCGGGGAAGCTCAGTGGTTCTGCCACCTGCCTCACAAGTGCAAGGTCCCAAGTTCGATCCCTGGTACCAATAAATAAATAAGTAAATAAATAAGACAAAACAAAACAATGCTTTAAGTCACTTATAAAACTCACATTTCTAAAAAATTAAATTTATCCTCAGTACGCCTATGTTCACTACAGTCAAAACTAACTCCCTTTAGGGCCGGGGATTTAGCTCAGTGGTTTAGCCACCTGCTGCGCAAGCGCAAGGATCCGAGTTCGATCCCCGGAACCAAAAAAAAAAAAACTAACTCCCTTTAAAAATCAAAAAAAAACTAACTCCCTTTTAAAAATAAAATTTTCTGCTGTGTGTGGTGCTGCACACCTGTAATCCCAGCACTCAGGAGGCTGAGGCAGGAAGATAGCCATGAGTTTGAGGCCACCCTGGGCTACATAGCAAGTTCAAGACCAGCCTGAACTGCACAGCAAGGCCCTGTCTCAAAAAATCAAGTCAAATCAAATCTAATTTCCTATCTTGAAGGTTTGCCTTTTTTGGGTTGTTTTTGGTGGTGGTAGGGATCAAACCCAGGCCCTCGCATGTGTTAGACAAGTGTTCTCCCACTGAGCTATACCCTTAATTCTTTCTATTTTTTTATTGTGAGACAGTCTCTCTGAGTTGCCCAGGCAGGCCTCAAATTTGTGATCTTCCTGCCTCAGCCTCTCGAGTATCTGGGACTATAGGCATGCACCACCACACCTAGCAAGATGTGCCATGTATCCAAGGTGAAATCTAGCATTCAAGAGGCCATGGGTTCCATCCCCAAGACCACACACACACAGGTAGAGGAAAGAGAAACACATTGACAGCAGGGCTCTGTTAGCAACTCCGTAGGCCTTACTGTGCATGTGGGCCACACACTGGGACGAGGAGGACCCGTGCTCACTGAGGAGAGGTACAATCTGGCTCAGGCACACGCTGAGTGTCTGGCCGAAGAGTAAGAACACGAACTGACCCATGCATTCCAGAAACTAAGTGTCTGAAGTAATTCCGAAATGAGACACCCACCACAGCGGGAGCACTAAGGTTGGCAACAACTAACTGAATATTTCGGAAGAGCTGCTAGAGAAGAGCTAGAATAGTCCCAACACAAAGAACTAATTAAATCTGAGGTGACACATGTGCTAGTCACCATAAGCAATCACTACACACTGTATACAGGGGTTGAAATGCTACACTGCACCCCAGAAATATGTAAGATATACATACTATACACATATATTTTATTTTTCAAAAAAACACATGCAACAACGTGATTGGCACAACTAGTAAATTCTGAATTCTGACTGGAATACTCCCAGAACCCAAAAAGATGAATTCTGCTTGCAAAAATCAGAGGAGGCGTAAGGACCTGAGTTCGATCCCCAGTACTAAAAAAAAAAATTAGAGGAGGTGGCAAGTAAGAGACAACTCCAAGGTGGGATTAAGAAGTCAGTGGCAAGCTAGGCATGGTGGCACATGCCTGTAATCCCAGCACATGGAGGCTGAGGCAGGAGGATCACAAGTTAGAGGCCAGCCTGGGACACACAGTGAGTTCAAGACCAGCCTGGACTACATAGAGATACCATGTCTCAAAAAAACAAAACAAAAACAAAAAAACAACTCAGTAGGCAGGAGGGAGAAGAAAAATGGGGTTTGACCAGAAGTTTCTAGGAGGCTCACTAGATAACTATCAACTCATAAACTCAGAAGGGGTAAGAGAAGGAATAGTAGGTTTTACCCCGTCATTTTAAAGTTATTCACAAAGCCAAGCATAGTGGTGCACACCTGTAATCCCCCACACTTGGAAGGCTGAGGCAGGCGGATTCCAAGTTCAAGGTCAGCCTAGATGATATAGGAAGACCTTGTCTCAAAAAAAAGTTATTCAATAAAAATGCACTGAGAAAGAAACTAGATCCTTTTATACACATATACTTTTTTATACACATATACTTTTCAAAGTTACAAAGTCTGAAACCGGTTGGAAAGACCATTCTGTTTCCTATTCCCCTTTGTAACAAAATGACACTATAAAGTCATAACTGCTCCTTCATTTGTTAATTTGGACATAAAAAGACTAAAGGTCAGTGAGTTACAAAACCAGCATCGTAAGTAATAACTGGCACCTACCTTCCACCCAAGTCTTGGCCTACCCGCCTCAAAATTCCCTCCCTTTGGCCCTTCTCTTGCAAACCTACTTTATTGGGGGAACAAAAAATTCAAGGAACATATACTGGACTAATGAAAAACATGAAAAACTCTTCAGGAAGATGTATTAGAACTCACTAAGCTCAGAAGTCTGTGTCTGCTCCTTAAGGACCAACTCTGACTGCCCAGCGAGGAACTGCGCCTCTGGGGCCCAGGGGGAAGCTCAGTGGCAGAGCAGCTTCCTAGCTCGTCCAAGGCCTAGGTTTCATCTACACCACTGCAAAACAAAGGAAGGAAGGAAGGAAGGGAGGGAGGGAAGAAGGGAAGGAGGAAAGCAGGAAAGGAAGAAACTAACTCAGGCCGGAGCACACACCTCTAATTCCAGCTCTCTGAGAGGCTGAGGCTGGAGGATCCCAAGTTCAAATCCCTCCTGGGCAATTTAGCAAGATTGTCTCAAAACAAAAAATAAAAAGGGCTGGAGATGGAGCTCAGTGTAGAAGAACCCCTGGGTTCGATCTCCAGTACCACAAAAAAGAAAAGGAACTTAACCTCGGGCTTCAGTTTCCTCATCTGAAAACTGGAGAGAATTAAGTAACAACCTTACTGTGCTGTCTTGAAGATTCAATGAGCTAATATACGTATAACATACGACCTACAGACCTCCACGTGTCAGCTACTGAGCGTCACTATTACACTTCGGGTTTTCTTTGGTGTGTGTGAATGTGGGCTTGGTGACTGAACATATGCAAACCGTAAGCAAGTGCTCTACTACTGGGCTACATCCGCAGCCCCTACTACATCTCTGAAACACTATTATGTGGCATTGTGCAAACATGTCATCTGCGTGTGTCTAGTTCTCTCAGCCTCCTGCCTGCTTTAGCCCTGAATTCCCTTTGAAACTGAACCATACAGTGACAGAGAAAAGAGCAAAAGGCAAGAATTAAGGACAGGGCTCAGCAGCAGACCACTTGCTTAGCATCCACAAGGCCCTGGATTCGATCCCCAGCAATTTTTAAAAAAAAGCAAACAGGCCTTGGCCCTCAGCCCCGAGAGGCACACTCAGGAGTGACACTGCGTCCCACCAGCCACCGGGCAAGCGCCAGCCGGTGCAGGCTAGACAGACCTTCGCAGCTAGCGCTCCTCCTCCTCCCCAGCCTAACCCAGGGTCCAACCCTTTGGCTTGCCAGGCCACGCTGAGTAAAGAGGAATTATCGTGGGCCACATATATAAAATACGTAATACAGTTCATGTACATAAATAACAAAACTTCCTTTAAAAAATATTTTTATAACATACAGAAAAAAAAAAAGGCAAGCAGCCCACAGGAGGGGTGCTGAACACATACGCTACAACCTGAGACAACATGCAGACCACTCGAAAACCTGCTGAGAGCGCAGGACTAAGAAGGTGACGGGTGGGAGTGGGAACACCTGCAGATAATGAAACAAAATACAGATGCAATCCTACCCTCAGGAAGCCCTTACAGAGCTGTGCCCGGGACAGGTGGGAGAAGCAGCCGGCCCTGCCCTCTCCCTTCAAGCCTCACCTCTGCCACCATTTAGAGGGATTAACCCCAGCCCCATAAAGCAAGTGGGAAAGTTTTGTGCCAGAGAGCAAGTGAAGGGAAGGGTAGCAAAACATGATCTTCTGGCACAACACAAATTTGTGTGGGATACTAGTAATAATTTGAGAGTCCAACAATATAGGGGCAGAAACCGGGCAGCCTGTCTGCACTGCCGTCTTAGGCAGTGGCCCTGGGACACGAGCCCCTAAACTGCTCCTGCTACTCCAAGGCTTCTTTCCTTCTTGCCTTCCTCTCCTCCTAGAATTCGAGCTTTTTCACAACTCCACTAAGACGCTGAAAGGTACAGTGGCAATCCCAGGCGAGGGCCCGAGTCACGAATGTGGTGGGGGTGGGGGTGGCGGGGCAGGGTAGGGAGACTCAACAGCACTGTCCCCAAACAGAACTGGGCTTCCCTGCCTGCGGCTGGGTCTCTGGGACACGCACATGGCTGGCGAGGGAGAAGGGTTTTCAAGCCAGCCAGACTCGGGCTATGAGGGCTAGCTGCACACACCAGCACACTGTGGAATGTCGTTTCACTTCTCTACACTTCTCTTTCTGCGATGGGAATGAAAATGACAAGTACAGCACAAGCAGCTACCATTACTCAAGTGCCAGGTACCTTACATTTGACTAACATTATCTCCTTTAATCCCTGCAATCATTCTAGAAGGCATAAAATGGAGACTAGCCTAAGTACAGATGTAGTAGTGTAAGGATTAAATAAGACAACACAAATCCCTACCAGCAGCCCAGCTGATTTTTCTAACCAGTATGCTACCTGCCTATCAGCTCTGGGTACCTTGGATCTTCCCACAGTCCAGTCACAATGGCCTATAAACTGACCACACGACATTCATTAAGCCAGAAGACTGGCCCCAAAACCTGCAGGACATGTACATGGGGACCAGTAAAAACAGACAAGAAGAGCCCAGAAGTTTGGCCTTTCACAAATCATGGATTCAACAAGTATCTCTGGAGCATTTATACTTTACAGGTCATCGGGAACAGCTGGCATGGCAGTGCAGATGGACTGAACAGAAACAGAAGAGCACAGGAAGGAGGGTACTGGTGGGGACCTCAGGATCTGGGAGAAGACACACCTGGTTTGAACCCCTCTCTGCAGCTAATTAGTCCCATGACCTTGGGAACATTATTTTTTTTTTATTGGTACCAGGGATCGAACTCGGGTCCTTGTGCTTGCACAGCAGGCGGCGAAACCACTGAGCTAAATCCCCGTTTGGGAACATTATTTAACCTACTCAGAAGCTTGAGTTTCATCGGTGATGCCACGGGCATAAAAGCAGTATCTTCTTCACCCCATACGACTGCATAGGAACGAACATGATACATACGGTGCATAGCTCAGGTCAAGCGCTCAGTAAGCATTAACTACCACTATCAGCCCAATGCCTGGGACAGAACTAGTCCATGAAGTCCTGGCTAGAGGTCTTACAGTGGACAAAGGAAATGTCCAGAACACTCTGGAGTCGAGTCCCTGGCTGGTGTCGCAATGCCCCTGGCTGTCACTGTCACTCATCCGAGGGCAGCCGGACTTCACGAACCACTGAGGTGGGTGCTCTCACCTGCGCTGCTGGGAAGAGATGCTCCCTGTCCACCTGAGCCGCGATGGGAACCAGCTCCTTCTCAGCAAAGTCCCGGCAGGTCTGACACAGCATCTGGTGCGTTTCGGGCAGCTCCACAGAATGGTAGACAGTGTGTAACTGCCGCCAGTCCCAAGGGCAGAGAGCTCCTGGCAGTGAAAGGAGAACACAGGAGATCCTGGATAATAATCATCAGGTAGGATTTTCCCCTGGCGGGGGGGGGGGGGGGGGGGCAGGTAATGCCTAGCAAACACCTTTGGGTCTCACAACTGGAAGAGTGAATGTTGTTAGTAGCCGGTGGCAGAGGCCACTAAACCTCTCACCGTGCACGGAATAGATCCACCACAGAATTACTGGCCTGTAGTCCCAGGTTACTCCCAGGGCTGAGACAAGAGGATCACTTTGAGCCCCAGAGATCAAGGCCAGCCTGGGCCACAAAGCAAGACTGAAAACAACAAAAACTATGCCCGAGGGTAACTGTTCACTGTGCTGGCTCGACACTCCCCAGACACTATCCCAAGCCTGGGTGTAACACCAACAATAAAGGGACCACTGTGACCTCTGACAAGAGTTTAACTTCACTGAGCCTCACTCAGTTCCTATAAAACGAGGACAATAGCACTCAGTTCCTGGGAGTGGGCTGGTAAAAGAAACAGCACGGTGCCCCTAAGCACAGTCCTCAGAGGCTCCCCTATTGTCATCAGGAGGCGGGTGGATCTGCATCAGCCGAGGGCGCCTTGGCCACGGACCCCAATGGAGACAGATACAGTGGGAAAGGTACGCGGGAAACGGTAAATAAACCAGAGCGCTAACATTACGGAGCATCTGTTATATGCCTGGTGCTGTACTGTTTTCCATACCCTGTGATTTAATCTTGCTAATAACTCTCTGGGAGTAACAACAGCTCGCTGCACTTGGGCCAACTGAGGCCAGAGGGCAATTAAGCAGCTCGTCCAAGGTCACAGACCTGAGTCCCAGCTCAATCCCTGGCCTGGCTCCGAGGTCTGCACGCCCGGAACTCCGCGTGGGTGCCGGAGGCGGGGTGTGGAGGAGGCGGGGTGTGGATAAGGCGGCTCAAACCCGGCGGGAGCTGCGGAGCCCTGAAGGACCAAGCCTGCAAGCCAGGGGGAACCCAACTGGGGTAAAGGCCGCGCGCCGAAGGGTGCTGCTGGCCGGCCCGGGGGCTGGGCGGGACCGGCCTCGGGGACCTACGCCGCCGTGGGCTGGCCGGAGTGCGCAGCTGAGGGTACTCACCTCCGCGGAGGGGCCGGCAGGCCCGGGCGAGCAGCGCGATGGCCATGGACGGTGGACACAACTCAGCCTTCTCTGCCACCCCCGCCGGCCAGCGCGGCTTCCGGACTGCGGGGGGGCGGCCTCACGGGACATGGCCACGCCTTCGGGGCGGGGACTCCTGCGAGCCAGCCCAAGGGAAAGACCTACATTTCCCCGGAGTTGAGAAGAGAAAGTGCTGCCTGGGCCTCATCCTGCAATGAAAAAGCTAGCAGAGCTAAAAATGGGCCTCCCAGAAAGGCCATACAGGTCTTTGAAAGCAGAGTTAAGAGACAGCAGTCCGCAAAAGCCAGACGTCACGGCGTGCTCCTGTAGCCCCAGCCACATGGGAGGCAGAGGCGGGAGGATCGCTTGTGCTGAGCAGTTCCCAGCCATCCTGGACCGTGCAGCGGGACACCGTTTCAAAAAAACCAAACAAAACCATTCATCTTCTACGGACACATTTCTTGTAAAATTCAACTCCATGGCCTGAAGAGCCTAGTCCAATCCCTGCCCACATCTCTGTGCTACCCAGGCCCACTGTGCATTCCCTGGTGTCTTTGCTCCCACCACACCAGGCAGGCAGCTTTGCTTTACACCCCTTGGCCTTTGTCATCACTGTTCCTTAGCCTGGTCTGCTCCTCTTCATTCAGGGCCTGCTCGCCGAGCTGCCCTGTCTATACCAGGCCAGTGTTTCTCCACATGCTTGCCATCCACCCTGTTTATTCATAGTACTGTTTCTGATAGGTCTCCCACCACCTCAGCAGCTATTATGTATAGTAGCTGCCCTCTTTCCTATCGTGCCTTGCCCACTCCCCTGTGTGACGTCATGCCAAGATGGTTGCTCCCACCAAAGAATAAACCCTTCTTCCCAGCATGCCCCTGTTCCCGCCTAGAAAGTAACCTAATACTCCCTCACCTCCTACCATCTAGTGACATCACCGGCTCCTCCATTCCCTAGTCACTACCTCAATCAACCCCACCTCAGCCCCTACCCAGCCCTACCCCAGTCTCTATAAAAGACTCTCCCTGCCCCAGCCATATTGCTTTTGTCTCTCCTTTGTTCAGAGACAGCCCGGCAGATCTAGTCCCCTAATAAAGGCTCCTTGGGGCCTGGTCTGGTCTTGGTTTTCGGCCCTTTTACCTGACATTTCCTGCTCTGTGTGTGTGTGTACACAGCCTCTGTGTGTGGGTGATAGTGGGGATGCCTTTTTGAGAAAGGATTTAAGTTGCCCTGACTGGGCTTGAACTTTCGATCCTCCTGCCTCAGCTTCCCAGAGTGCTAGGATTACCCACTGTTACCGCCAAGGCTGGCTTCAAATTTACTGTGTATCCTACTAGCCTCACTGGCTCCCATAGGGGCAGGGGCCCTGTCTTACTTTCTGCGTGTTTGGGCCCATGGATGGGGTTGCTAGGCAGGGAAGGGAAGAGTTCTTTCCCCCAGAGGTTATGAAGTGAGGTACAGCAGGTACTTCTCCGTTACACTGTCCTCCTGTCTCCCAGCTAGGTTCAAAGCTGTGTTTGATCCCTGGCATCCTGGTCAGGACACCTACTCCAGAAACTGAAGGTCTCACTTGCCCACGGGTCCTCCCTCTGCAAAGTATTAATGTGACCCCCACAGCCTCCAGCACCCACATACCCCCAGTTACCTTTCTGCTAACCCAACTGGGCATCTGTCCCCATACTGACCGCACTCCCCAAAAATCCCATGTTCCTTCAAGATCTTGCTCCACTTCCTTGAGAAAAATAAAAAAGATGCAGAATAGCTGGGCATGGCAGCATGGCCAGTAATCCCAGCTATTAGGGAAGCTGAGGCAGGAGGATCACAAGTTCAAGGCCAACCTAGGCAATTTAGCAAGACCAGTTCAAAAAAATGCTGGGGCAGATGCAGGTCAGAGGTAAAGCATCTGCCTAGCTGGGTTCAAGTCCCAGTACTGGGGGTGGGGGTTGGGAGTAGAGAACAAAGTCATCCTTAATGTGTTTTTGGTTTGGTTTGGTTTTTTTGAGACAGGGTCTCACTATATAGTTCAGGCCAGCCTTGAACTCACTGTGTAGCCCAGCCTGGCCTCAAACTGGCAGCTGACTCTCCTGCCTCAATCTCCTGAGTGCTGGAATTACAGGCGTGCTCCACCACACCCAGCTAATTCCTTTCATTTTTTTAAAGAGCCTTTAAAAAGAAAGCTAATTTCTTTCAAAAGAAAGAAAGCTAATTTCTTTCCTTTGTTTTAAAGAGGCTTTTAAAAGAAAGCTTCTTGGTGCCAAGGATTTAGCTCAGTGGTTTCACCGCCTGCTGCGCAAGCACAAGGACCCAAGTTTGATCCCTGCTACAAAAAAAAAAAAAAAAAA